TTTAAAGAAAACCTCTTATGAATTATTTTATAACAAGATTCCTAAAGTATCTTACTTTAAAGTTTTTGGTTGTAAATATTTTATTTTAAATACAAAGGATAACTTAGATAAATTTGATTCTAAATTTGATGAAGGAATTTTTGTTGGATATTCTAATCATAGTAAAGCATATAGAATATATAACAAAAGAACTTTAGTTATTGAAGAATCTTTACATGTTTCTTTTGATAAAAATTTTTCAAAACCACCCATTGTTTTAAATAATGATGATGATATAATTGATACTATTCATGATACTCCAATGTTAGATATTACAAAAGATGATAATTTATAAAATGATTTACCTAAAGATTTTGTAGACGTTAAAAATCATCCACATGATTTAGTCATTGGAAATATTTCTGATAAAGTAACTACTAGATCTCATTTTTAAAAATCATCCACATGATTTAGTCATTGGAAATATTTCTGATAAAGTAACTACTAGATCTCATTTTAACTTGATTGCTCATACTGCTTTTATTTCATCTATTGAACCTAAAAATATAAAAGAAGTCTTACTTGATGATTTTTGGATAATTGCAATGCAAGATGAACTAAATCAATTTACTAGAAACAATGTTTAGGATCTTATACCAATACCTCAAAATAAATCTATTATTGGAACAAAATGCATTTTTTTAAACAAATTAGATGAATCTGGTCAAGTTGTTAGAAACAAAGCTAGATTAGTTGCTCAATGTTATAATCAAGAAGAAGGAATTGATTATGATGAAACTTATGCACTTGTTGCTCGTTTAGAATCAATTAGAATATTACTTGCATTTGCATGTTTTATGAATTTTAAATTATTTCAAATGGATGTTAAAAGTGCATTTCTAAATGGTTTTATAAAAGAAGAAGTTTTTGTAGAACAACCTCCAGGATTTGAACATGAAAGTTTTTCAAATCATGTTTTTAAACTTAAGAAAGCTTTATATGGTCTTAAACAAGCACCCCGTGCTTGGTATGATAGATTAAAGAAGTTTCTTTTAACTTCAAGTTTTAAAATTGGAAAAGTTGATTCAACATTATTTATTAAGAAAATAAATCAAGATATTTTACTAATCCAAATATATATAGATGGTATTATTTTTGGTTCTACTAACAACAATCTTTGTCAAGAGTTTGCTAAGACTATGCAGGATGAATTTGAAATGAGTCACATGGGTGAACTGAATTTCTTCATTGGACTTCAAATTAAACAATTGAAAGAAGGAATATTCATCAATCAAAGCAAGTATGCAAAAGATTTACTTAAACGCTTTGGAATGGAAAATACAACAAGCAAACCAACACCAATGAGTACTACTACATCACTTGACAAAGATGAAAATGATAAGAATGTTGATCAAAAACTTTATCAAGGTATGATTGGAGCACTTCTTTACATTACTGCAAGTAGACTTGATATTATGTTTAGTGTATGTTTATGTGCTAGATTTTAATCTAATCCTAAAGAATCACATCTTAAAGCAGTGAAAAGAATTTTTAGATATCTTAAAGATACTATAAATTATGGATTGTTTTATCCAAAACATAGCACATTTGATTTAATTTCATATAGTGATGCTGATTTTGCCGGATGTAAATCCGATAGAAAAAGTACAAGTGGAACATGTCATTTCTTAGGACAGTCACTTGTATCTTGGTTTAGTAAAAAAAAAAATTCAGTATCATTATCAACGACTGAAGCTGAATATATTGCTGCAAGTCTTGCATGTGCTCAAATTTTATGGATGAAACAAACATTATCTGATTATGGAATAAATAGTCACATATCATCCATAATGTGTGACAATTCTAGTGTAATTAATTTATCTAAAAATCCTATTCAACATTCACGTACAAAATATATTGATATTAGACATCATTTCTTACGTGATCATGTGCTTAAATGTGACATTTTATTAGAATTTATACCTACTAATAAACAAATAGCAGATATATTAACAAAACCCTTAAAAGAAGAAATTTATGTTAAATTAAGAAGGGAATTAGGTATATGTTCAATTGAAGATTTAAATTAAAATTTTAAAACAAACACATATGCATACATACCTTTAATAGTCGACTAATTTGATCTATAGTCGACTACATGCACAAGCATTGCATATAAGATTTTCTGTAAATTACAATACAGTCGACTAATTTCACTTATAGTCGACTACTCTGAGTTAAAATCTGAAAATCAACTTTCTGTCGATTACCGTGTAGTCAACTACTTTTCTTACTAGTCGACTACTAATACTGAATTCACAATTTTACAGTTTTAAAGCTTATTGGATTTTTTTTAATCAAACCCAAAACCCAAAACCTAATATTCGTTTCATTTAAGTAGAGTTCATATTAACCATAGATATTCAACTCTATCAATCCTAACCACATATCTAAGATAAAATCAATTCAGAGTATTTCTTAAATCCTCTCTCTCGATATTGCTACTGCAGGAGCATATTTGAGGCATTAAAGGTGGAGAATGTTTTTTCTAACATATCGTCATCAGTGACATTTTGTCCACACAATTGCAATTGAGATGTAATTTTATACATTGCAGAATTATACTTACTGATTGATTTAAAATCTTGTAGCCTTAAATGAAGCCAGTCATACCGGGCTTTTGGGAGCACTACCAACTTCAGGTGGTCAAATCTCTCCTTCAAATTATTCCACATAGTAAGTGGATCTTTCACAGTTAGATATTCAGTTTTTAATCCTTCCTCCAAATGATGACGAAGGAAAATCATAGCTTTGGCACAGTCTTGATTTGAAGTCTCATTTTCTTCCACAATAGTATTTTCAAGACCTTTTGCAGTAAGATGTATTTCAACATCTAACATCCAAGGTAAGTAGTTCTTTCCAAAAATATCAAGTGGCGTAAATTCTTATTTTGTAAGGTTAGTCATAGTGAAAATGAATTGAATTGGAAAGAGAAATTTTACCTCAAAAGTTTATCCAAAATATCAACATGTGTCCAACGATGAATCTAATAGACTTGAAGAAGATTGTTTCAATGGTAGAGTCTCGTGCTGATAACGTGTTATAAAACTAATGAAGTAGAGAAGAAAAGGTAGATGGGAAGTAGAGAGAAATTTTATTTCATTTGTTCTTCGTTGCTCTTTCAAAGTGAGGTAGGAATACCTCTATTTATATACAAACTAAGATGATAATACATGAATCATATTAATTACTCATTCATGAACATAGTCTTTCAAGAACATGCATTGTGTTGTTCTAGAAAGAAGATTAATGTACTAGGGGAATATCAACTTCTTGGGAAACTAAATGGACATCCTCATTATTTCATAACATAATATAATATTTTGGACATTTTGATCCGACTACTAAAAGAGTCCAACTTTTTTGTCATACATGGTCACGATGGTCATGATTTATCAGAAAATTATATTTTGAAGAATCATAACCTTTCAAAACATAAAATAATAATTTTTGTCTAGAAAACGATACCTTGTCAAACTAAAATGGTTAATTGCGAATAGACCCCTTGTACCATCACCTAATTGTGAAGAGATCCTCTATAATTCTACTTGTTGCGAATGAACTTCTTTCACTCTTTTCAAGGACATGTTTTGTTCGCTTAAAAGGCCCAAGAAAACCCTTTCTATGCTCTGACAACTCAGCCCACATAGAATAATTGAGTTTGGCCTTTTTCTTTCATGGGTTTAGTTCACGATTTAAAAGTGGGAAATGTGCTAGGAAACAGGCATCCACCTCAGAAAAGTGGATAACACCCATTTCATCTCAAAATGAGCGAAAATGGGCTGAAACCCATTTCAGGCGATTGTTTGTTCCTTCGTTGTACTCATTTTCTATTCAGTGGTTCTTTCATCCCTTTTAACGAGAGCTTTATATATCTCCACTCTTGTATCTTCTCTTCTCTTGTTTTAGTCCTTCTTATACTTACTTCTCTTTGAAATCAAATTTAAAATTACATTGTTTGACTGTCCACTTTCTAATTTCTGGAGTCACTGCACCACTTTGGCAAGGAATAATTACATCCTTTTCTTTTGTCATTGCTAAAAGGATTATCTTCATAATAAGTCTAAATAATTCATTAATAGAAGATTTTGGAGATTCCTAAATAATTAATTAAAGCCTTTTAGAGTACCAAGGGCATAGGTGGTAATTGTGAAACGGAAAATATAGCTCTCTATATCCGCAATTATAGGATATTGCGGTCAAAGGGAGTTCCATGCCTACATGTTTTCCAGATACTATTATATTCATCGAGATTATTTTATGTATAGAGGAATTGTTGTCCCGCAAAGCAGTATAATAACTTTATTAGTATGCAGTAAAATATAATGTTTTGGACATTTTGTCCCGAAAAGCAAAAGAGCCTTGTCATACATGGTCATGATTTATCATGCTGAAAATTATGTTTTGAAGAACCATAACCGTTCAAATCATAAAACAATAATTACTGTTTAGAAAACGATCCCTCAATCAAAACAATAATTACTTGTTATGAATAGACACCCTGTAGTAGTATCGGCCCAAGTGCGAATGCACACTCTTAGTAAACTTTTTCGACTTTTTTAAAGGTAAAAAAAATTTAGCGATTGGGTGTTTATCATCACCGGCGGACCTACAGGAGGCCAATCACTAGTGCGTGGCAGTGTTTAAAGGCGGGAATTAACCCTCTAAAAATCCTAATTCATTCAAAATAGGACAGATCCGTGTCATATCAGCAGCTAAAAAACAGTTTAAGTCATCACGTGCCACGCACGTGGCGAGCTCTCGCCGGAAAACTGGTCGCCGACGAGAAAAATGACCTTGTTGGTAAGTTGAATCAATTAAAATGCCTTAAAACATGTTTATCTAATTAAAATACTTTCTTGATAAATATGGTGGAATTAAAATACCAATATAGGTATTTAGCCGGATAAAAATAGTCCATAGTCGCCCAACTGGTTTCCATGCTTTGTTAACCGGCTGAGCTGTTCTTTCTTCGCCCTGATCTCTTACCGGCACAATTTTTTAAAACCAATAACTCTCTTTTCCTTTCTCCTATTTTACAAAAACACACGCGCACGAAAAAAAAAAATCCCATTTCTCGAAATCTCGCTACCTCGAATAAGTCCCAAACAATTAGAATTATTCGGGAGAGAGGGGGAGGTTAGGGTTTCCGATGGCCCGGAGCTTCTCAATGATCTCGCCGTCGTCGACATCGTCGTCCGTGGCGGCGCTTGTTCTGAATGGCGCGGCGAATTGGTGGGATGATGTGAATGCGTCGCCGCTGTGGCAAGATTGGATCTTTCACGTTCTCTCCGGGCTCTTTGGTCTCGTTTCGGCCGTTGCTCTCGTAAGATTTCGTTATCGATCTCTTGTTTTGGCTTTGATTTTATGGCTAGGGTTTCATTGATTTGGGACTGAGGGCTATGGTTTCGCTGATGCTCGATCATAATCCTTCTAGGGATTTTAAGTAGAAAATAGGATCACGTTTTTGAAGGTTGAAGTGATTGCTTGCTTGTTAACAAGAATTAAGTCATTTCCCCCATCTGTGTCCCTAAATAATATGGAATTATTAGAGAAATACTCATAAAATAATCCTGGCCTTTTTTACTTCCTCTGGTTCCTGTAGGTTCTAAAGGAAGTGTTTTTATTATTTGTATACTGCAATTTTGGTTTTGTGCTAATTCATATGATTAGAATCAAAGTTAGTGAACATGAGCAAAAGGGAAAAGTAGTGAAAGGGGTTTACTTATAATGTTGCAATTTAGATCAATTTCTTGCTTTGCTGACTGGCCATTAGGGGTGCAAACGGATCGGATATGGCTCAGATGTGATGCTTGCCATATCTATATCCGTTGACCAATCATGGATATGGATATGAATATAGATATGTCTTGGTTGGGAGAACTGATATCGGTATCCACTAAAGTTGGGTGCAACTGACGTTGCAGTGTTTGCCCGAGACTAGTCGAGTGTAAAGCCAAAGGGTTGACGCTGACACTGAGACCATGTTAGTACAAAGCCAACTTGTGTTGGTGCCGTAATTGCATAAGTGTGGTGATTTGTTAGGGCCCATTTAGCCCTATCCTCACTATATATGGGAGTCAATTGTGGGTTAATAGGTGATTTGCGTTCCCTCCGCCCAAATACTAGCTTTTAGGACTGAGTTCACTTAGATTCCTTGTAGATTATCTGTAGGAAACATAATCATAATTTTGCACATCGAAGTGGTTTCTTTCTTGTTAACAAAAGTTAAGTCATTTCCGTATCTATGTGACTATATCGTATTGACTTGGGAGAGAACCATTTGTAACATAATTGTTGCATTTTATTTTCTTTAGTTCATATACTTTATAGGTATCTAAATGGCATTGGATTTTATCATTTGTATGCTGTCCTTCTTCTCATATACCCATTCAATTAATTAGAATAATAGAATGAAATGTTGGATTTACTTTCATATTTATTCTTTTTCTTCTGTTCTACAACGTTTAATTTTGTGTTAAAAAACATTAGAGAAAGTAAAACTGAGGAATCCAAAGTTGAATAGTGCAATCCAGAATGCTCTCTTGCCTTTGTAACTGGCCATTAATAGCTGATGTATGTGTGCAGGCATGAAACTTTAAGGATAGATCACCTTCCACAGTCAGTTAAGCCAATTATAAAATGCTCCCCGCTAAAGAACTACTTTTGCGTAAGAGTCATAAGCACATGGAATATCATCATTTATGTAATTTCTGTATTGTTGACAGATACAATTGATTCGAATCGAATGTAGAGTTCCGGAGTATGGATGGACGACACAAAAGGTCTTTCATTTCTTGAATTTTCTAGTAAATGGAGGTCTGTTTCCTTCTTTGTATGAATTGCATAATCCTGTTGCATTGACGTCACCAACTTGTGTTTACTAACTCCTTGGTTTGCAGTTCGGTCTACTGTCTTTGTATTTCGTCGAGATGTGCAACTAATGAAACCTGAGGTTAGCTTCTCCTTTCCTCAAAATTATAAGTGTGGAGTTTAATAGTTGATGAATTGATTCAAATGATAAATACTTCCTTCCAGATTGTGCAACATATTCTTCTTGATATGCCTGCTCTTGCATTCTTCACGACTTATGCACTCCTAGTGCTGTTTTGGGCTGAAATATACTATCAGGTAGCGTTTAGTGTTTTTGCTTGATTTTTATTAGTTCTTTTGCATTTTCTATCTTCCTCTTTCTGAAGCTGAATTAACTCAGGCAAGAGGCGTGTCTACGGATGGACTCAGGCCAAGCTTCTATACAATTAATGTTGTGGTTTATGCTGTACAGGTAAAGCCATTAACCAAATTCTTCATGTTTAGTAGTCAGATTGTAGTCCTTGAGTTTATGGTGGGTCATTGTTATAATAAGGGAAGTGGGAGAACATATTGTACGCCTTGGATTCTCTGGGGTCAAATCTACTACTGGTATTGCAACTATTGGTGAAACATGTTATATATTCTATTTTGTTGCCTATGTACATGTTGATATCTTTGGAGAATCCAAATCTAAGTTTCAAAAGGATGAAATGTCTACTTGTACAGTGGCACTCATGTTCAACTAGTGACCAGACATAAAAAATGGTCTTCACATGTAAATCAACAAATAAATCATAGTTTCTAGACTAAAGATGAACTATGCCGCTCTACTAGAATGTAAAATGATTGAAGCTATAAACTAGGTGAATTTGTTTGTTGATCTTCATTGTTGAAATTCAGTTAACGTGATGGCATAAATGGGTGATGAATTATGTGGAAGTAAATTCTTATAAATTTTGATTTTGAACTTTTGACCATGATAAAAACTAAAGTAGTAAGAATTGGATAAGAAAGAATTTACATTTCTAAATAAATTTGTGAAGCCTCTTTTCAATTGGTAACTTTGCATTAGATAGCAATCTTAAAAATAGTCAAAAATATGATGATTGTCTAGGTAACATGGACACTTCGTTTTGGGTGTTGTGTCCGTGTCCGACACTGACACTTCGCGGACACTCCATGGACACTTGTGGTTCAAAGGAAAACCCGATTTCCCATTACTTATACCCTAAACTAGTTTCTCTGGTAATATCAGATTCAAAACAATTGTTTTTTAACCCAAAAACTAAAATTTATTACTTAAATATTTGAAAAACACCCATCGTATTATCCCATGCGGTCAAAACTAAACTTTTTGTTGTTAAATCTTATTCATTGTTCGATTTAACTTGATTCCTAATTGTTATAGATAATATAAAGAAATATACAAATATTATTGGTATTTTCGTTCAATATTTGATCGTGTGTGTATTATATACGTGTCCCTGCATCCTACATTTTACTAATTAGTATGGTGCATGTGCATTACACGTGTTTCTATTTTTCTATTTATATGCAATAATAATTTTATGTGCCTAATGTGTATTTTTATTATATATAGTATTTCAAATTAGTTTGATTTGCAATGGATAATATATTAGATATCAAATCAATTTTCCTAACCATTTGTTTATACATTCTATTTAGGAAAAATTCAACAAATGCCTCCTAATAAACATCCGAACTTTTAAAATATCACGAAATCTCCATAAATTCTAGGGTTCTCAGGAAAATCCTTTCAACTTTTAACAATGTCAAAAAAACCCTAAAAGCGTGAAATACAGTTTTCATTAGAAAAAATCACCCCGCATAAATTTATTTACATGTGAAAAAGAACAAAGTCAGCATTAACGCCATTAAGAAGAGTTTTTTGAAAATTATTGAAAGTTTAAGGGGCCTTATTGAGATCATTAAAGAGTAGTGGGGTTTTATGACGTTTTGTGAGTTAAGTGATATTATCTAAGGAATGCCCAAATTTAAGGGGTTTTCTGAAAGGCTAAAGAGCACTTAGGCACCTTATAATTTATTAAATTAACTAAGTTATTTATTAAATTGTTTATTTAATTAATAATAATTAACTTATTAATATAGAATAACTTTAGCGTCAGACTGACAAGCTACATAAATAATAATGCGTGTAATCATGTAAGGAATTACCAAAAACCTCATAGTTAACAGAATCCCGCACTAACATAGTTGGAGACAAAAACAAAATGCAAAAATGGATAGAAGCTTTAATTATTATTATTATTTATTAAATGAATCACATATATTCAGTATATTCACATCATCTCCAAAAAAAAGGCAAAAAACAATTGAACACCTTAAAAATCTCAGTGCATTGCAATGTTGATCAAGTAAAGAACATGGAAATTATAAAGATTATAGAGAAAGCAAGTTCGAGGATGTTGAAGTAGCGAGGTTATGAAAAATTGTATGTATGTCTTCATGTATGTATGCATGGATGTGCAAGCAATTGAGTGGTTATGAAAATTTGAGCATGTATGTATCTTCATGTATGTATGAATGCATGTATGTATGAATGGATGTGTTGGAGGGCATTTCAGGAAAAAATGTTTTAACATGCAACCCATTTTTTATAGTAGTATTAGATTTGCCGTGTCCATATCAGTATCCGGTCTGTGTCTGTGCTACCTAGATGATTGTTGTTTAGGAATTCCTTTGAGCCTTTTATTCTTTCATTCAAAACGATATGGCTCAATGGTGTAATGAGGATGCAATATCATAGAGATGCTCTTGTGAAAGACGCACTCTGCGTATATGTGGCAGCACTGCATTGTGATAAAATAAAAAAGTCAACAAATAATCATAAAGCTTGTGATCCAACTGATTCAATCCACTACTGATTACTTGGCATGCCTGGTGGGCCATATCTCTTCTCTCATCCTTTGGGTTATAAGTATATATGAACATGCAAAAATAAATAAATAAATATATACAAACCAATACAACATCATTTTCTTATAATAACTTTCTTCTAACGCTTAGTACTTCAACTTTAGATCTACACGTAATAGTTAGTATTGGCTATATTAGTTGTTAGCCATTATCGGAGGTATAATTTGAATGAAAACGACACGTATAATCACATGATACTTCCCATGCTCCTAAGAAATACCCATAAACCTGACCACTATGTTACCTTTTGAATAAGTGTCTCAATTTGAAGTTCTGTCAAAATGTCGATATTTTTTTGTTTATGGCCCAACGCTAGTAGGGAATGCTTGTTACCTTATAAAGGCTTAGACTTTTTTCAATCGTCTATTGGACTTTGTGTAGCATTCGGTGAGGCCACACTGGGAACAGGGTAACCAATGGGTTTGGTTAATCCTGGACAGGCTTGAAGATAGACCTGTTTTTCTCTCTATATATTAAGAGAAAAGGCCAAATTGGTACTGCTTCTACGCTTGTTGTTGCTGCAATTCAACTGACTTGATTTCTGTTGCAAGTAAGGGATTGTCTCGCCTAGCTTTCAGCTCAGGCTAGCTCTACAAGGTCCACAAATTTTGGCCGTGGTAGCGTCCGCCAAGTGCACAATTTTCAGCTTAGACTAGCTCTACCAAGTGCACAAAGAGATGCTTTTGCAACAGAATGTGATGGCTTTTGTTCCTGTTTGAAAAGGAAGGAAGACTATCTTTTCTCACCACGACCTTCCACTTTCATTAGGCTGATATTCTGACTAGGAAAGATTGTCTTTTCTCACTGGCTTTTCACTTGGCTGATATTCCCCAGAGTTAAACTGCTAAAACCTAAAACAAAATTCCTCTTATTTTCGTTGGTTCTCATCAGTTTTTCTATATTTTCAACAATATTTCATTTTTACCAAGGTTTTAACTATTGGATATCGAGAAAATATCTGACAGTCAAAATCCATTGCAGATATCAGGAAAATATCAAGAATAAGTAGAAAATATCGGAGTGCCAAATCGGATGATGTGCATATATAATATGATGTCCTAAAATATAACCTAAGCATACTTAATGAAATTTAAGCATACAAAAATGTAAATAAAACATGTTTAGGATTACATATCAATTGTAGAAACTTATG